GCAATAACTGTCCCAGGCTATCTTCTAGAATTGTCATTTTTAAATAATTAATAGGGAAATTTTCCTCAAGGTTAATCTCCTCCCCACTACAGCAAAACACACACAAAAAACCAAAAAAAACCACAATGAGAGATCTTGTAATAATCAAAAATACCAAACACATCAATTAAATTATTAAAACAGCAGCCAGAGAGAGAGAGAAAACAATGTATTCGATTTTAAAATGCATTGACACAGCAGCTTAATAAAATCTTTCTGTCTTCCTAAAATTCAGGAGAAAAGGGGTCGGCATAATTTATTTTGGGGAGGGAGCTTCATAATCTTGGTACCAGGGCTGAATTTAGGTTTGATGAGGCCCTAAGCTGCTGAAGGTAATGGGGCCCTTTATATGTCCAGCTGTCCTTTGTCAACAACAAAGTGTCACTGTTTTTTTGTGTTGAATATATGCTATATGGTAATTTATGAACCTAATAGGTATCTAAAGCCCTTTGCACCTAACAAAATGTGTATTTTATCAAAGTAATTGTTGAACTTATCTTATATTTTGGAAATGTACATCCAGTGTTGTTGTTTTCTTTAATTTTTTTTGGCGGGCCCAAGAGAGTGGGGCCCTAAACTATAGCTTGTTTAGCTTATACGTAAATGCGGCATTGCTTGGTACCCTTTTCGTATACCACTTGAGAGTCTTTTTGGCAAAAGGGTGCGGTATAAATGCTGCAAATAAATAAGATAGTAATAACACACACACACCAGCAATTTTCAAGCGGTCCACAGAGAAAAAAGGTTTGAGAACAAGTGCAGCCCACTACGTGATCTCTTCAGCCCATATGCTAGTAACCATCTCTTAATGTGCTTGATTGCATACATTTAAGCATTCCTACCCCCACTTTAACTATAATTGGTTAAGGGTGCTAGGAATGGTAGCTCTGTGAGGTCGGCACCCTTAACAAACTGTGGCTCCCAGGATTCTTTGGTGGAAACCGTATCGTGAAAGCACGGGATGGATGTGACCGTAGTGTCCTCTCACTCTAATGTACCAACGCCACTGAGTTTTGTGTTTCCCCCCACCTCCCAACAGTCTTTCTTCCACACCGTCCTGGAAAACAGCCCTCATTGCAACACAATGGTGGACAACAACCTGCACATCACAAACTGGAACCGCAAGCTGGGTTGCAAATGCCAGTACAAGAATATTGTGGACTGGTGCGGCTGCTCCCCTAATGATTTCAAGCCGGCCGATTTCCACCGATTTCAGGTAAGTTGATATTTTATCAGGTTTGTTAGTCACGCCGTCGTAAGGCTGGATCCAGCAGGTCTTTTCTTACGTTCTCATGTGTGAGAGTTGGAGTCCATCATTAACCGGAGGACACCATGCTGACAGCTTCTGCTCTATCCCATACTCTACTTGACAGCAACTCTCCATGAGTTCTGGTCACTGCCGCCTGGTCCTTTTTCCTTTCTTTTTTAAAAGATGATGCCAAGGGTTGAATCTAGAACCAGCTGCCCTTCCCTCCCACAGAAGCTCCATCTGGTGTTTCAGTCTATGGTGTATCTAGAGCTTTGAATGTTAGTTTTTTTTAAAGAATCTAGTTCAAGCTCAACATGTCCAGAAAGGAACCAATGCAAGTTCGCTTTCATCCCTTTACAGAACAAGCTAGTTCAGTTCACAGTTCAATTCAAATTCAACCAAAGGACCCTCAGCCCCCCCCCCCCAAAAAAAAAACCCCAACATGCAGAATGTTACTGGCTGCTGTGCTGAAGTATAAAATATAATTAAGAAGGCTAAAAACATCCAAAAGTGCATGCACACAGTGGAATGTGAATTGTTTACTTATAGCTCGGTCAGCAGAGCATGAGTCATGGGTTTGAGTCCCACCTTGGGCAAAAAATTCCTGCATTGCAGGGGGTTGGACTGGATCTGACCCTCATGGTCCCTTCCAACTCTACAATTCTATAATTTTTTTGGCTCATCTTTTCATTCTATGATTCTATTTTTCCTCAGAAATTATGATCTTGAAGCTTAAAGGCCCAAAGTGTCTGAAGCATTAAAAAAACCCCACACATGTAAGAGATGATGAACTGGAAATCAGTCAAAGTCCCACCCCAAAATGAATTTAGTTCACATTCTGTTCTCAGCAATTATGGGAGCTATATGTTCAGGCATAGTTCAGATATTTTTGAACTCATTCAGTAAACTTCATTAAACCAAACTAGTTCATTCCAAACACGGGGTGGAGGGCTCCCACTTGCACAAATGAGGTCCCAGGTTCAGTTGCTGGCATTTTCAGTTTTAAGCATCTCAGGTAGCTGGGTTGCCCAACAAGTTCTGGAGGGACACTGATTTCCCACCCCCCTGCCCAAAAGTAAACCTGTATTCCTGGTGAGAATGCTTCATGCATTCCAGGCATTCTGGCTGCAAATGGAGAGAATAAACATAATTGGAGCCACTCCAAAAGCAAATTTGACGGGTGGTGTTGACTTTTCAGAAGGCATGTTGCACCTTTTGATCTTGGCGCTTTCAAGCTTGACACTTTCTATCCCTCTTTATTAAAAAAAATGTGCAGAAAACAAAGAAGGCTTTTACAGTCTAACAGAGCGGTGTTAGAGAAACACATAAACCGTGAGCAGCATCCCAGTTCAGCCTGTTATACAAAAATGTAAGAGCCCCCTATCACCAGCATCCACTTTCCAAAACACTTGTTAACATAACATAGCTTCCACAGACACCAGTGTACCCACCAGTGCATCCTGTCGTGTTCACAAAAGGTCTGAATAAATATCCCCTCAAAAACACACAAGAGACGATTTGCTTTCCCTGCTCATTTCCTGTTTGCACTGACTCAGCCTCTCTTACATTGAAGCTTTTATGTCATGCCCCCATGGCAGCCATTTTAAGTTATGGCACCCACCCACCCATGGCAGCCATTTGTGTTATGCCAGGCTCAAGGCAGCCATTTTGTGACTGATGCTAGCAGCACTTTCTCAAAATTCTGAATGTGCTCATTGGCGCAAAAAGGTTGGCAACCCCTGCGCTCGAACAGCAAATCACGCATACACAAAAGTTCACAATTAAATTACTGGGTCTCATCTCTTTGATACTCATTCTTCCAACCTGCCAGGACTGTGCTGACACATTGCAAGTGGCTTTTTCTTCCCACCCCCACCCCCACCCCGGTTTCTCTACATCTGAACTTTTTATGTCCCGTTTTTGCTGTAATTTTCTGACATCCGATCTTGCATCAGCATAACGTGTAAGGTGGGAACCTTGTGTTCTTCAAAAAAAAAATCCACAGAAACCACGTTGTAAACAAATTGTTTTTATTGACACAGCAAACCACAAGACCGACCTTCTTTGCGCGCAAATTTGAAGCGGTGGTGAATCAAGAAATAATTGGCCAGCTGGATTACTACTTGTATGGCAACTACCCATCGGGCACTCCAGGCCTGAGATCGTACTGGGAGAATGTCTATGACGAACCAGACGGGATCCATAGCATCAGTGACGTCATGCTGACCATGTACCACTCATTTGCTCGCTTGGGCCTGAGGAGAGCAGAAACCTCCTTCCACACTGATGGTGAAAACAGCTGCCGGTAAGTTCAGAGTTCCTTCAGTCTACAGCAGGTGGCATGTACCTCTTCTTCTCCACACAGCTGAGGTCTACATTCCCTCTGGGCTAATCTGTCAGCAGCTGCAAGCCAACAGGGATCAAGAAGCTAAGCTGGTGGGCACAGGACAGAGTCAAAAATGAGCAGGGAGTCCCCTTCTCCCTGTTTCTCTCTTGCCAATCTCCAGTCTCCATTTCTCTTTCTCTCCAATAATACCCTTTTCACTCTCAGTCACTCATGGATTGCGACTGCACGTTTCAGCTTTATTTATGTAGACAACAAGGGTAGCACCTGTCTAATATTTAATGGGAGGGAATTCCAGAAGGGAGGTACCATAGCATTAAAAGCCAGATTTGTATATCATGAGGCGTGGACTCTGCAAGAGGCCCTGTCCTGCAGAGCACAGTGATTGATTGGGTATATAAGGGGCAAGATGGATATTTTAGGTATCCTGGTCCCAAGCTGTACTGTAGAGGAGTTTATACACCACAACCAACACCTTAAACTTAGCCCAATAGCCAGCTGGCAGCCAGTGCAATTTTTAAAAGTTTGTGAGTCTGGGAGCTGCCATTTAAATTTCCCACAGGACCCGCAAATGCCGAATTGCCCCAAGGGGTTGTGGTGAAAGTAAATGGCAGCTCTCAATAGCTCTCAATTAACTGCTGAGGATTAAGAGTCCTTGCTCTCCAGGGTCCCATCTCCGTGCCCTTTGCCAAGCCCCCACCCCACCCAGGCTTAAAAACAGAGGTTTAAGAAGCAGTGTCGCACATCTTCATTCCAATGAACTTAACATCACTGTAGCTGCAAGAACCTCACCCACTGCCAAACCACTAACTCTGTTGTTCCGCAGCTAATCAGACTCTTCTCCATTGGCATTTATGTTTTCCAGGTACTACCCAATGGGCCACCCATTCTCCGTCCAACTCTACTTCCTTGCTGATCATTTTCAGGGTTTCCTTGTCAAGCACCATGCTACCAATCTGGCTGCCAGTAAGCTGGAGACCTTAGAGACATGGGTGATGCCCAAAAAGGTGTTCAAAATTGCAAGTCCACCAAGTGATTTTGGAAGGCTGCAGTTCTCTGAGGTAAGCATTGCTGTTATCTTTTGTTTTTCCCTTCCTCTTTTAAACTGAACAAGGTTTCCTTTTCTTTGTTCTGAAACTACCATGACTCCTACTTCCTAACTGAGGCCAGGTCTGCCAGATATGGACTTCTCCACACTTTCATTTGACCCCCATTTTGACTGCACTGTGTTGTGTACCAATTCATTCCCCTGGGTCCCAGAGCTTTTCTCACTGTTCTAAGGCTGTACCTTGAGAAAATCCAATCTTGCTCAGAAAATTCTTATCAGGTGTGCAGAAAATTCAAAGAGAGATGTTGCTTAACCCATTTGCCCTGTGGATAGCTCAGTCGGTAGAGCACGAGATTCTAAACCTCAGGGCTGTGTGTTCAAATTCCACCTTGGGCAAAAACAAAACCTGCATTGCAGGGGTTGGACTTGATGACCCTTAGGATCCCTTGCAACTCTATAATTCAGTGATTATAAGCGTCAATTCAGCAGGTAAGATCGGATTTTCTTAGCCTGCCAAGGAATTTCTTAGCCTGCCAAGAGGATGTTTCCTTGTAATAATTGCTTTAAATTTTTATTGATTCCATTTAATCCCCACCCTTCCTTCAAGGTGTTCAGGATTGCGTGCATAGTTCTCTCCCACCCCCAACATTTTATCCTTCCAACAACCCTGCGAGGTAGTCTGGGAGAGTGACTGGCCCAAGGTCATCCAATGACTTTGATGGCTGAATTGGATTTTAGTCTCCCTGATTTCCGTCCGACTCTGTCAAGTGCTAAACCGCTCTCATCCTGAGCCACACATTCTTTGCAAATGGCACAGCTGCCTAAAGCTATTTATTTCATCATTTTTTCTTGCTAAATCACAAATTTTAATTAAAGCCCACACAGCTAATTGAACAAATTTTTGTTCGTAGTCATTATGTCCTGGCCTATAAATTCTGCATTTTCTTTGGCAATTGAGAGAGGCTTAGGTAGGCTTCAGTGTTTTTAATGGCATGTGTGGCAAATCGGCGACATTAATGTCCTATTAAGGAGATGGATGCTGGTCTTGTTCTGTTTATTGAGATATCAGTGGATTGAATTGCCGTTTTCATGTCCTGACAAATGATCGCACCAACTGTATTTCTTGGGATTGGCAATTCTTCTGTTGTTTTGCTGGTGTGAGGGCATCTCGCAAGTTAATGAGAAACGCACATGCAAGATAACAACTGAAACAGTATGTCTAGGTTTTACTTGCAGTATAGTTACAAGCGTCAACCTAACCTATTAAAGATCCCATTGGTTGAACTCAAATTGGGGGCTGGCCAACATTGGTCAACATTGTTCAGCATCCGCCAAGGCCTACAGCTTTCCCAGGGGCCCCCATTTGGCCCGACTACTGCTGCACCTCCTACTTACAACTGCTGCCTGCTCACCTGCCTTCTCCAAGAATCAGCAGCCTCAGGACTCATTTTTCAGGGGTCAGAATTGATCTCCATTAGCATCAGAGCCTTAAAAACTGGACCGGGCCGATACATGTCCTTGGCAATAGTCAATCATATGATCGATTCCCACAGAAAGCAGGGTTGAAGTCACTGCCTTGCAGCTGATGGGAACTTGATCACCCTACTGAAATCAGCTTTGCAAGCCACTTTAACTAGTGGTTGGGGCAACACATCTGTCAATCATCAGATGCCATCATGATGTCAGGTGACTGGCCAGCCAGGTGATTGTCCCACCCACCAGTCAAAGTTGGTCTGCGGGGGTGAGGATCAAGAAGGTTCCAGCCTACCAAGCCAAAAAGGTTTCCCATCCCTGGTAGTGACAGTACTGAGACAGATAAACACTATTTTGTTCACTGGGGCACAGAGATGGGGAGCCTATGGTCTTCCAGATGTTGCTGGACTACAGCTCCCATGACCCTTCATTGTCAGCCATGTTGGCTGTGGATGTTGGGAGTTGGAGTCCAACCACTTCCACAGGGTGGCAGTTTCCCAGTAGAAGGTTAATTCCATGTGACATAGGTATCACCTCTTCATTTGTGTTTGTGTTTTTTGTTTTTTGAGAAAGATGACGTCCGTCCAAAGGGAAGGAGAAAGATGGACTTGGATTTCATTTTGGCATTCAGGGACTTCTGCACTAAGCCTTATCGGCGGAACTTAAAAAAAGTTTGTTTCTAGCCTCGTTAGCAGTTGCAATTCATCACAGAGAACAAAGTGAACTGGGCGGCAGGCAATTAGTGTCTTCTGTGTGGACCTAATGGTCCCCGTTTGTGGTGAGCAATGAGACACAAGCTAGTAATCAAGGCATAATTTATCTTGGGCAAATTTTAAGTGCAAACCCAAGCAGGGACCGGAATAAGTGATGCAAAAGCTGAGTAGGGAGTTAAGGAGCACCCTTCCCCCCTCCCAACCGCTTCAGAGGAAAACTGCAACTGAGTGGATTCTTTGATGGCAGAGAAGTACAAGGGGATGAATGAGACACAGTGGTGATCAGCCTGTCTGCAGTACAGAAAGTGGTGACTTTGGGAGTTTAAATGCTTAGCAGAAGTGAACTTGATGCAGAATCCCTGTTGCAATCACACTGGGACTGAGTTTAGAAAAGTAAGAAAGCTACCTTTATCACAGGAAATGCATGCTTGATAGGACAGGTCCTACTCCTGACCAGCTGAGGTGGAGAATGCAACAGGCCATGCATCTCAGCAGGAGAGACACCAAGTTGGAGGCAGTACTGCTTCTGAATGCCACTTGCTGGAAGCTGCAGGAGGACAGAGTGCTTTTGCGCTCAAGTCTTGCTTGTAGACTTCCCATAGGCATCTTGTGGACCACTATGAGAACAAGATGCTGGACTAGATGGACCACTGGCCTGATCCAGCAGGGCTGCACTTACATGAACTGCATGGGGGAAGCCAAAAGCTAGTGAGCAACTGGGTCCCAATCTGCGCATTCGTCCAGGAGGCGCCAATCAGGTCAGTTCATACGGGAATTATCGAAGATCAGATTCCTTAAGCATGATCATCCTGAGCCCCTGGATTTTCCCGAAGTTGAATTTGGCATTCTGAGAATCTGTTCCTTTTATTCTTTCTGGCTGGGACGGCGTAGGAAATTCTTCCAGGTCTTGGAGATACTCAGATAAAATAAACACAATAGGGTTGTCACCTCCAACTTTACTTTCTGTTTCAATGCTGCATACCAGAAGGCCAGATCCTTATCTTTCCCACACCCTGAGGGCCACGTTAAATGGGTGGGTAAGGCTGCCAACCTGCCAATCACCCACCATCACAGTGACAACCAGGGACCCATTTTTGCCCCAGCGCTTTGACGCCCCAACAATCAGCTGATAGTCGGGGCTTCAAATCTCCACACACTGCTCTCTGCAAGGATCACCAACCAGTGGCTCAGTGGTGCTTGCAGAGAGACCTGAGTGATGATCTGAAGGCCCAAGAATCTGCTTTTGTCATCAGCCGAGGCATCGTTTCATTGGATTTGTGACTTCTGTACCTTCTTCCACCTTCTTCCTCCTTGTGTGTGTGGCCTGGGGAGTTCATACTTCGCTGATTACAAATACTTTCAGCAACCGGTGCATGCCACATTTAATTGCAGTTACTTGTGTCCCTGTTGCCCCTTGGATAGTAACAAACTATTACAGCTATCTCAGGCTAACTGAAACATTGGGGTGATGGGGAGAGAACAGCTAAGAAAATGTAAAGTCTGCTCAATGTTTGTGGTTGGTTGTAAATCTGTGTAGTTCTATATAGAAACTTGTTGTTCTGTGATTCTTCCCTTCATTCCTGCCACCACCTACTGGGCATTAAAAAAAAATCAGTTGAAGCTGTTCCAGGTGGTGTCAGGCTGAGCAGGCAACCTGCAGGTAACATATTACAAGCATCAGTGCTTTAGTGCCAACAAGAATTGTGAAGGGTCCTCAGAAGTAAAGCAGTGGTAAATGTAGAAGTGCAGGTCCCCTTCATGATAAGTCACAGTTGTGACCCCCTCATAGCCACACCCCTTTCTGAGACTATACAGCCTTCTATATTTATACAATGATCCTATGATTTTGCATTAATAATAATTAGGGATGCATTGCAATGATGCACTGGTTTTCTACTAGATCTACTAGATCTATTTTCTGTGCACATATAACTGGGGCAGATGGGGCTTCTCAGCCTGAGAAGGTAGCCCATCCCATCTAGGAGAACCAAAACTCTGATCCTAAACTTCCACTGCCATGCGGGATATTTTCGGGAGAAGAACAGGCTAAGGAGTAAACCCTACACAAATCCAGCGTGGAGTCCCTAAGACAATAGGATGGTGCCTTGTACGCCTTCTTCCAGCAACTCCTGCAGCCAGGCTGGTGCCAAACGTATTGCTCTGCTTTCCTTTGGACCACATGAGCAAGAATGAGGAGGGGGTCTTGTTGTCTGAGTAGCCCAGAGCCTCCATACACGCTGCCTTGGCTTGCTCCTCAGAGAGGTCATTTCTGTGCTGTTAACGCAGCGGTTTGGCTTCATCCCCAGAGGTGCACTCCATTGTCTCTTGAGACAGACAGATGCCAACAAAATATGAGGAAATCATTTTGAGTATATCAGGGAAAATCAAGTTGTGTTTCCCTTGTATGTCACAGAACTTGCACACCATTCTCTTGAAACTCACACACATTGTGTTTCCGGCATTCCTAAATGCTTAGCTTTAGAGCTACAGAACAGAAGAGCTCCACCTCCTCAATGTTATTGCCACTTGCCTGTTCCAGAGTGACCCTAGGAGACAGTCCTCAGGGACTGACTTGCCTCCTTTCAGTCTGGCTCCAGTGAGCACAGAAGGTGAAAGCACTTCTTCTCAGTTGCGCAAAAGCTCCCCCTTCATGCAGATTGGGTGGCCCCAGTGTGCTGGAGATGAGGACCCTGCTGCAGGAATAGTAATTGTTCTTTGACTCCCTGCGACCCCACAGAACCCCATCTCTGGTCCCTAGCATTGAGACAGATTGCATTCACAGATGCACAGGAAGGGTGGCTACTGGCTGCCTCCGTCAATCATTTAGCTCCATTTATCTCTCCCTTAGAAGATAATTTCCCCCCAAAAAAACCAAAAACAGTGGGATGGAGAGCAGCAGAGCAACTCAGAACCCAGGACCTTATAGCAGCCATCCAACGCGGCAATTACAAAAAAGAACAGAATATGTTGATTTTTAAAGCAGTTGGTTGTTTCTTTCAGTGTTACCTGATGTGCAGTGCTTCTGTTTACCCTTCAGATTGGAACCGACTGGGATGCTAAGGAGAGAATATTCCGGAACTTTGGGGGACTCATTGGGCCCATGGATGAACCAATCGGCATGCAGAAATGGGGGAAGGGCCCCAACGTCACTGTTACTGTCATCTGGGTAGACCCCACAAACACTATCGCCGCCACATATGATATCCTAAT